CCTGCCTAGGCAGGGGGTTGGACTAGAAGACCTCCAAGGTCCCTTCCAACTCTGCTATTGTATTGTAAGAGTAACGAAGATGATTAGGGCAACTGGAGGCTGAAACATATGAAGAACGGTTGCAGGAACTGGGTATGTCTAGTTTAATGAAAAGAAGGACTAGGGGAGACATGATAGCAGTCTTCCGATATCTCCGGGGCTGCCACACGGTTCTTGGCCACCGGGGTGCATTTCCACTCCTCTTCCGTGTCCCGCAGTCACACAAGACCATGTTTTATTCCTAAATGACAATCCTATTTTGATTTAAAACCCAAACAAGGAGGAAAAATTGAGCCATATTCTCCATGACACGGTGTGTCATTCACCGGCATTTCCCTGTGACTCGGCGTCTTCAGAAATTCCAGGGGGGGAATGTCTGCCTTCATGCCGATTAGATGGTAGTGCAAAGCTTCATTGGGATTGGCGGATTTGCTAGAACCTATTCTGAACAAAAGGCAAAAATTGTTCACAGATTGATCGATTCAATAGATGCGTTAATTTATGGTCTCCCATTTCTGGGCATCTAACCACACCTAGGCTTCCCCAGCGGCACAAAGCTGAGTCCTCGTCCCAATAAGCCCCTTTCCTCTCCAGCAAAGTCTTTCAAGATAGTTCCCAATTACCGACCTTTATCAGGCTTGGAGAGTGGCCAGGCCGATAGCTTCCAGATGCCACAATACTTGGCAAGAATGCAGGAATGAACTAATTGTCTCCTGCAAAACTCCACTCCCCTTTTGCTCCTCTTTTATTCCCTATGGGAGGGGTCATTCACCATCCATCTGTGGCCTTACTCCCAAGTCAGCCCCTGTTCTTTAGCTCTTCCCTTCGCCTGGCAACTCTGCGCATGCGCATACTGGGAACAGGCCCCAGCTGTTCTTCTGCCTCACTGATCTCTGACTCCGAAGGCAGCTGATAGCTGGCATATAGCTCTGTCCCCCTCTCTGCCTCCGACACAGAGCCCTCATCAGAGCTTCCTCAAACTCCAGGACTGGCCCAGGTTCCTCCCCAACCTCCTCACTGTCCGAATGTGCTGCCAGCTCTGCTGGCCGCTGGCAGGCCACAACACCTTGACAGTTAAAAGTAATGTTAGCAAAGAATAAAACAATGGCTCCTTTGAGGCTCTTTGGACTATAACCGTCACCTGTCCCACTTGGCCAGCTACAGAAGAAGACTCCTGGCCTGAGATTTTTCCAAGATTATGCTTTACCAAAGCAATAAATGGTTACAGACAAAAAGAAGCGGAATCTGGCGAACTGGCGCGAAAACTTTCCAGTTAATTTTTCCCTTTTCCCTGGCCACCCCTCTCCTGCAATCAATCAATGTCCAAGGATCCATGCTTATTTTGTTTTGGGAAAGAAGAAGCCTCCTTGCCTGACACAATGTGGATTACACACACACATACACACACACAAACGTCTTCCTCCCACATTCCCACTCTTCCTCCGGTTGCAAATATGTTAGATTGACAGGTTGCAAAGGAAGCAGGCTCACCACAGCCCTGCTGATAGCATTCTCATCCTAATTAAGTTAGTATCCAAAAATTTTGAAAGCATGTGGAAAGCATCCAAAACATTTGGAAAGCATGTGGTTGTCAATCCCTGGAATACTTTGGAATAATCTGGAATGCCTTGCTTACAGACATAGCAAAAATCAAACTTCTTCGAAAACCGACACTTGAGAAATTTTTAAGCCTCCTTTTTAACCTTGTGTCTAAATTTTCCGGCAACTTTGCAAAGAGAGCTTCCTGTCTGGTCCTGCCTCCTTTTTATATATATATAGTTTATTGTCCCTGAACGACTTACCTTGCTCCTTCTTCCCACAGGCTCAGCCGATGCTCCTCTCCCGCTGGAGAAGGAAGAACTTATCCGTCTTCAGGCCCGCAAGCGCTTGGAAGAGCAGCTCAAGCAGTATCGCGTCAAGAGGCATCAGGAGAGAGTAAGTGCCTAGCAAAAAGATTCACAGGCAGGTTTTTTTCTATTCATCATGGGGTCAGCCAGATGTTTAGGCCACAAGTGGCATTTTTGGCCACTGATTGAGTCCTTCCCAAGGATCTCGGATAATCAACTAAGTATCTTATTAAAAAAATATTATTATTAGTATTATTATTATACAATTGTATCACAGCGGCCAGTTGTTTCGCCGGATTTGGCATTGGTTACTAGTCGGGCCCCACCCAGGGGCCTAGGACGT